CTTGAAGGCCCTAAACCCCAAACCCTAAGGCAAGGCTTCAGGCTTACCTTGTCAAGGTTTAGGGTTTAGGGTTTAGGGTTTACGGTTTAGGGAGTGAACATGTACCAACGTATCCATCGGCCAAAGGAGGATTTGGCTTCGTTCCTGGCCATTTTGTTTAGAAGTAATCATATGAGCTACAGTCTAAACTCCTAGTGTCCCCCTGAATAACCCCTATAGTAGTCCCCTATATAATCCCCTATATAACCCCCCTTTAAGGAGTTTAGACTATAGATCATATCATAGCCTGAAGATGAATTATCTATGGACTTGAAGGCCCCATTTTAGGTGTTTCTAAGCTCAGAGCCCTAGCGTTTTTGATGGTCTTCTAGAGCGTATGGAGCTTTGAAATTCAAAGTTGCAGCTTGCCATTGCAACACCTCTAGTTTGGTGAGAGGTTTTTGGCCGAGCCAATGTGGGACCATTTCTATGCAAACCACCACTTGAGCGCCCGCCTTTTTTTTTTTTTAATTACGTGGGGCTTATGTGGCATTTTATGTGGCATTTTTGCTCCACACATGTAATCTTGTATTGTACATTGACAAACCACCTGATCTCGCCCGCCATGTTGGAATATGTACTGAGCTCTTATTGCAAAGGAAACTGTGGCCTATCTCGTTCAATCCACGGCCCCTATCTAGTTCCCAGAGGAACGCTGAACCCGGAGGCAAAAACACCAACACTCCTAGCCTTCTACTCTTTACGTAGATAAATTCGGCTGCTCATTTGGGGTAAGGTTGTCATAGTTTGCCCAATCCCCTAAACCCTGAACCCTAAACTTCGGGGTTCATGTCAATCCAGGGCTTTGTCTATCCAAAGCGAAATTGGATCCCGGGAATGTTTCCCCCCCAGCCAACCCCCTGCTCTACGGACTCAAATATGATCGTATTGGAGAATTCCCTCCCCTACTATTTAGCCCCCTCTCACCCCTAATATTAAGTATTCCCATTGTGGTATAGTACTTTACATTGGGAATAGTTATTATTCGGGGGTGGGGGGGGTGTAATACTAGGGGGAAAGGATTACTATACTCTGAACTGTTGTTGTGAGATCCTAGCTAAAGGAATCAAACATGATGTTTTTGCTTGATAACCCAAAAGCCTAAGCCCAACAACGATGAAATCTAACCTAAACCAAAAACTCAAAACCCCAAACCCAAAACCCCCGAAATCCTAAATGGATAGCCCTTACTCTGCTCCATTTAGTGTTTAGGTTTCGGGGTTTAGGGCTTTAGGNNAGGGTTTAGGGATATGGTAGTTTCCCAAAATAAGGGGACCCCAATATAGACCCCCAAATACTACAGTCCTTATTATGGGGACCCCCAAAAAGGTACCCCTAATTTTGGGAAACCCCCATATAGTTCTTCCCCCTAATGTTATTCTGCCTACGGATGGAAGACTTCTCTACATCCTAAACAAAGGGAAGTCAGCTTGCAATGTCCCAAAAGCTTAAGCAGGTGCGATAAGCAGTACGTGCCTGAACCAGACCAACACAGTTCAAAGTTTACCTGTAGCCTCAATTACCTACAGTTCTATGGGCTATATCTATGGGCTATACCCACAGAGTAGGGGGTATTAACGTGTAGGTTATGGGGTCACAGGTGAGGCCTATGGTCAAACAGTCTCAATTTCGGGTGTCCTTCAAGATTCGGCTCTGGGTACCTCCCCACATAACACAGGGTGTATAGGGACATCACAACACGATTACGGGGTCTTCAGGAGCAACTCCTGTGTCTTGCTTCAAAGGAGGACCCCCCCTCCCCCCAAACACGCTCATTGAACATTGTTTAAGCCTCTACATTACATAATCCCAATTGAACCCCTATAGAAACCTGGTTTCCATTTATTTATCCGCCTACTTGTCCATTTGATTCTCTTATGATGTGACTAAGTTGCTTGGGGTTGAGGGAGCTTCCTGTCGTTTTTTGTTTCCCTGGCGTGTTGCGAAGCCTTTCACACCCTGTGCCTTTAACTCTGACTCCTGAATCATCGAACGCCGCAAAAACAGCCTCAGAAGGGGCAAGCAGCTGCCGGATAGAAGGAGCATAGCTTGCGTGTCTGGATCCTCCCACATGAGTAGCGTTTTTTTTGGTGGTTGAACCTAGCGGGATTCTATTTCTCATATAGAATACTATACCCCGAAAGGAGGATAGAATCTTACTCTATATTGAGTACCATAGTATCCACATATAAAATACTACTCACATGCAGGCTATAGAATGTAGGGCTTGGGGGTAAGAGTTTGGAGCCTAGGGTGCAAGTCACTGGAATGGCTTGGTGGAGTTTACTTCAGGATTGCGAATAAATGATTCCCGTAAACCCCAAACCCTAGACCCTAAACCCTGGAACCTAAGCCCTAAACCCAAACCCTAAACTCTAGACACTCGATCTAGGGATTGAAAGCTCATGCTCGCGCTTAAGGTTTCCCTCCGAGCCCCCATGCCGGAACAGCGGGATTTAGGGGTCTAGGGTTGATGGGTTTAAGGATTAGGGGTTTAGGGGTGTAGGGTTTAGGGATTAGGGATTTGAGGGTTTAGGGCTTATGGATTGCAGCAAGGGTTTAGGGTTAGGGCTTGGGGTTTAGGGTTGAGGGGTTCAGGTCCCAATATTGCAATATTGAAAGATTTGGTGCCTGAAGCCTGATTTTTGGCGTGCCCGGGCACTTGGGGTTTAGGTTAAGGAAACCCTAAACCCTAAACCCGAAGGCTCTGCTATGGTTTGAGCTTGTGCACCTTAAGCCCTACATGGTGCACACAGATCCTGAATCTTAGGACAGGATTGGGAAATTTGCCATCCTTAAATGGAGTCTATGCATACCTGCGAGGTCTAGTTGGGGCTTAGGGATCCGAAGCCCCGAGCCCTGAACCGTGAAGACTAGCGTAATTCTGGTAAGCAAGCTTAGGATTTAGAATACTGGGGAAGTAAAAATATCATCTATTGTGTATAGCAGAGGCGCCTTTTCAAAGGACAGCTGATTCGTAGGCCCTTTCCGGTCTTGCACGTTAGGCTGGGGGAGAACAAAACGTACCCATCCTTCTCCTGTCCACACAACCAAGTGATACAGGATATGAGCTATAGTCTAAACTCCTAGTATCTCCCTTCATAGCCCCTATAATACTTCCCTATATAGTCCCCTTTTGAGCCCCCTTTGAGGCATTTAGACTGCAGCTCATATGACGCAGACTTTGGACTCAAAGGCGGTTTGAGTTCCCCCGCAGAGGCCCATGACCCTTTGAAGCGACAAGAGTCAAGGCGCCCACGTCATGGGACTTCAGGGCCCACATGGGTGGTTTTCAAAATCATGAAAAGGGACCCTAGTTTTGACAAGCACCCGCATGCCAGAATGATGATTTTGAAAACGTGAAAAGTATGTGGTTCCTTTTGATACCTGCAAGCCTCTTCACTATGCTGGTACTGTAGGGTAGCCTATATTATATGTATACAAGGAATGTAGAATCATAACATTCGCATTTGATTCGGCCCCATAGTACTTGGGCACTTCGGGAGAATCCAACTAGCACATCTCAGATTCCTGAACCCTACACCCCTCAAACCCTAAACCCTAAACCCCTGAAACCCTGAACTGTAAACCCCTGAAACCCCTGAACCCTGAGCACCTGAAACCTCCATACCCTGAACCCCTGAAACCCCGATACCCTGAACCCTGAACCCTGAAGCCGAAACCCCAATCCCCAAACCCCTACACTGGGTTGCTGTTGTGGAACGTTTTTTACGTTACCATGTTGGAGAAATCCTATTAATTACTGTAAACACATTATGGTAACTTAATTTAACTTCCTTAACAGCAACCCTAACCCTGAACGGTGCAGAAATCCCACCTCCAGCGCAGCTCGGATGAGACTCAGCTCCGCAAAGACAAGCGACAACTCCGCTCGATGAGTTGGCCTAGGTTTGGGGTTCTTTAGGGGAATATGGGGGTTACGTAGGGATGTACAAGGACATATAAGTGTATACATACAAGGATATGTATGGTTCAGACTTTAGGGTTTTCAGAAGTTAGGCGTATGTACCTTTTTGAATACGGCGTATAATATCTTCGTGTCTACAATGAGCCACTTGTTATTGGAAACATGCGCTTGGGACCTACGGCTACTTGGGGCCTTGGCGTCCCTGTTTGGCAAGAGGTCTAGGGTTTATAGTCCCCCTTAAGTAAATAGAAAATGGGGTATATGGGGATCTTATTTTAATGTACCCAAAGCCATATTCTGTCTACTTAAGGGGGACCAAGGTCATGCTTCTACACCATTGGGGATTTGGGTATGTAATTATGTGCTTTGTTAAACCCGATTTCTACGTGCGTTTTGGTTGGGAAATTTGCACTTAAGGTTCATGCAACTAGTAACTACCTATGCCCGCGTTTTGGTACCCTAAACCCTAAACGCCAACTATATGGGTCCAGGTAGGAGGATTGTAAGCCCACTTACAAATAGCTATTATGTAGGTCACAGGAATCTTCACAGAATCTTGATAGTCATGTGCAGGCATGTGGCCTCCGCCACACTAACATGGAACCCGAGGAGGGCCTATTGAAGGATGCTGTCATTTTCAAGATTGGCTCAAGATTGGCCATATGAGGGTTCCCATGTAACAACCCCAAACCGTAAACCCGTGAACAGTCTACTAGAGGGGCCGAAACGATTTCCATCATATTGCTGAGGCTGAGGTCTATTTGAAGTACCCCATACCATGATTGCATAGGGAAACTTGGACAGCAACATTGAAATGTTTTGACTTCCGTGCATCACGCCATCCCTAGAAACCACTGACCATGCCAGCTTCCATTTTGAATTCTCCGCTGCAGCGTACCTACCCCTACATCATAAACTCTACAACCCCGATATACCCCCCATAACCCTCTAGAGGGACTCCTAATTTTGGGAACTATTGGGACCCATGTCTTACCCTAAGGGTCCAAGGACCCAAATAATAGGGTTCTGGGCCCCAGATACTATAATATGAATGGCATTTGGGCCCTAAGTCCTTGGATCCTTAGGGCTACCTATTCCTGACCAAGGTTACCACACGGTGGCCACGCCACGCAGCTTTGCCTGGCTAGGGAAAAAACGCTGGCCTACCTGGAGGTTCAAGGTAAAAGCTCAATCACAAGAGGCATATTTAGGCTTTATAGGGTTAGAGTTTAGGGTTTAGGGTTATAATCCCCCTCAAGTAGATAGAAATCGAGGTATATGGGATCTTAGTATAAAATCCCCGAAGCCATATTCTATCTACTTAAGGGGGACTATTTGTGGGGCTTACATAGGATTTATACGGGCTTTACAGAGGTATATAAGGTTAGGTCAAGCCAAGCATAGCCCAAATATGTCTGGTACTTCTAATCCCTTCCCCTGATAACCTCCGTAATATAAAATACGGGTTCTACAGACTTTCAAATTCTGAACCACAAGACTACTTTCAAAAGGGCTAAGACGTATGGCTCCGATCTTCTCAACTAAGGGGGGGTCCCTAGCCCATTCTTTTGGATTCGGGATCGATCTCCTTGATTTCCTAGACGTAGATGGACTTTGAACGGTTTTGTATGAAGGAATCTATTTGATTTTAATGGCTGTTCCTGCGACTTTATTCTGATCTTGATTCGATTCATTTTTTTCGATTCTATTTGGATTTCAATAGGACCCTATTACATATACCCCCCCCCCCTGCCACATGTTCGGGTCGCACGATGAATACTCCCTCTCCCCAATATTAAGTACGATTCGGAGTATGTACATTGGAGGGGAAGCCCTTTAACTTTCATATTAGGGGGAAAGGATGGACCCCGTGTATACCATTATTGGGGACGCAGGGCTTGCAAAATTGGGTTTTACTCTAGATCTCGTAATTTTGTTATGATCACCCTTAACCTCCAAGCATGACTTAGCGACTCAGTGCTTGCAGATTCGATTCAGGGAGGGCCGGGCTTGGAGTTCCCCAGCGATTCAAATATGGAAAATGAAACGGATACTGGGGATATACAGGAATATATAGGGATCTACGTATACAGATAATACTTACATTGGGCGCCAAAGTCTGCAAATATTACCTACATTGGGCCATTTGGATCCCAAGGGGTATATTCTGCCTGGTAGAGAGCCAGTAACTGTAGCATCTGGGTTTTAAGGCCGGGACATGCCTGATAGTCCAGTACAATCAAGATGACAGGTCAGTACAGCAGGTAAAGCACTGATTTCACTCAACCCTAAACCCTAAAGGCGCACGGTCAAGGCTGATCTCCTTGGCAACGCAGTTTGCAGAACCACATGAAGACAGATTCCTCATGGCTAGAACGGAAGCACACAGCTATTATACAGTTTCAAAGTTTTCTAGAGACTACTGTAAGCTTCCTGCCCAAGTTCGTGCAGCACTGAAGCTTTGGGCTAGGGTTCGACGGCATGATTGTTGCACTCTTTCCTGGGTTTCTTCGCAGGCTTTAGTGTAACAAGAATAACCAAAAGCATTTTGGAAATTGTTTCGACGATGGTCCAGTGTATGCTGCAGCATTCTCGCAACGGAACGTATTGACAACTCCGTTGAAGTGCAAGCCCTGCATCTTACGTGCTGCTGATAGGGCATGAAGGAATGGATAAGGAAATGGGAGATTCTATAGAGGCTACTTGAGGGGTCTGTTCAGTCACTCCCTACTGACAACGAGTAACGCTTGCGCTCAACACCACAGCCCAACACTAGTTCCGTAAGATCACACCGAAAGGCACTCTCACTTCGGGATTTGCTCAGCCAGAGTTGTTTTGACTGACTCACTCCTAGTTAAAATATGTCTGATATAGCCCTGAGATCTCATCAAGCTCGCTATTGTGACAACTCCCATTGTTGAGGCGACATCGGGAGAACTCCGGAGAACGCACCGAGCAAACCATGGCAGAAGCGCCGTAAAGCTGCCTTGAGCGGGACGGGAGTTTACTTCCAGGAGGCTTAGGGTTTAGGGTTCAGAGTTCAGGGCCGAGAGTTCATGCTTGAGGTTTGTTTAGGCCTTTAGGGTTTGTATAGGGCTCGGAGCCTATGGTTTGGTCTAAGAGGTTTAGGGTCCCCTTGCTGCGAGGCGGAGAACGTACGGTACACCCTAAAGGCAAATTGGATGTCTGTGGGCAAGGCAGTGACCCCTTCTGCACCAAGCCTGAATTATACATCCAAAACTTGGAGCTTTCAATCCAAAGTACGTATTAAACCCTAAACACTCACATCCTAAATCCTGAATCCCAAGCCCCGCCAAAGGGTCCAAGCACCCAAATAACAAGGTTTAAGGTAACAGATTCATTCAGATTATGGTATTTGGACCCTTCAGGCCCATATTTTGGGTACTTGGATCTTTATGCCTCAAACAGCTAAACCCTAAACCCTAAACCTTGACCCCCAAACTCGTTGCGAAACCCCATACTTGGCGGCCCATGCAACTTAGTAACTACTTATAACTGGGATTATAACCCTTCTTCTTATAATTGGGGTTACCACTTAAAGGCTGTTTAGGGGGATTATAAGTAGGGTTATAAGCCCAGTTATAAGTAGTCACTAAGTCCCATGAGCCTCCAAGTCTACTACCTCCACCGAGCATCCCCACCCTCAACGCAGTCAAGGGTTCAAGGGTTTCGGGTTCAAGGGTTTACAATTTAAAAATGGTATTTTGTTTAAGGGCTTAGGGTTTAATAGGGGATTGGGTTAATGGGTTTAGGGTTTAATGCGGGTTTGGGCGGGATTTGGGATTTAGGGTTTAGGAACCAGGAATCCTGAACAGCCGCAGTTCAAGGCCTTCTGCTGCTGCTGCACCAGCGCTGTCGTCGTGGCAGAGGAGATTAAAGCAAGCCTGCAGGCCCAAGCCAGGTAGCGTAGTCTGGGTTGCTGTTAAAGAACTTAAATTAAGTTACTATATTGGGGAAACCCTATTATTTACTATATATATATATACCCATTATGGTAACTTAATATAAGTTCCTTAACAGCAACCCAGTAGTAGGGTTTAGGCTTTAGGCTTTCGGGCAAACCGAAGCCAGGTGCACTGTTGTGGTTTTTGCTTAAACTGCTAAGATCCCCCTTCATAACCCCGAAAATACTTCCCAATATAATCCCCTATATAACCCCCTCTATAACCCCCCCTCAAGGAGTTAAGAGGATGGCTCAGGTAGTGTAGGTTTGAGGTTTCGGAAGGAGGGTTTGGGTGATATCTGTTCAAGGTTTAATGTTGCTAATTTAGGGTTTGTCTTCAGGGATTTGAGGCTAAAACGATTTCACTACAGGCTTTTGGGCGCATTTATTGCAATGATCTGTGGATTGCAAGGAGACATCTTTCCCAAGTATCTAAGCGTCTAGCTTGCGGCGCAGGTAGTTTAAACTTCTTGCAAGGGCTCTTCAAAAACTTTAGTCCTACTGTGATGAAGGTATGCATTATCGTGATGAGGGCAATGTTGCGGGTTTCACAAAGGCGGCCACGCTTCGGGATCCACTTGAAATTTCGGAGAGATCCGGAGATTTACAAGGCCCACTGTCAGTGCTATGTAGAGTCACTATTACTGTTGTGAATACTTTGATTATGATCATTGTTTCGAAAATTCAGGTTATCATTTTTAGGTGATGAACTATGTGGGGCACTCCCATGTCACTGACAACTCTAAAACACCATGAGATTGCTCCTTGGATTCCTGAAATTAAGTTGTCATCGTGCCATGGACATGCGGATTGATGTTCAGGCCTTACGAGCCCTCAAGTGTACATCCTCGTTTGTTTTCTTATGGCTTTCCCATGGGTCCAAGTACCTAATAATCATATACTTACCCAAAACTACTATTACCAAAACCCTAAGTACCCAAGTATTGAGTACATGGACCCGTAGGGTTTGTGGTAGGGACTAGTATAAGACCCAAATTGAACGGCAACATAGCGATAGGGCTTGGGACATGGAGTTTGGGCTGAACCCAAGTGGGACAGCAAGGAAAGGCTGAGACGGTAGATGGAGGAAATCTTGCACCACCTCATTGAGCCCATATCCCTAAGGGTCCATGTACCCAATAATTGGGTACTTAGAGCTTTTGGTAATAGTAATTATGGTACAGGTTTTGGGTAAGTATATGATTATTAGGTACTTGGACCTTAGGGTATCCCAATAATTACAGTACTATGAGTTCCGAAGTGGTACAAGATTTCCTCCATCCACAGTAGGAACTACGTGAGACAAGTCACTAGCCCGTGTAGCACATGCAGCGATACGGACGGCTCTGAAGCTATCAAATGAGATTTGCACATTGAGAAGATCCCAAGTATGCGCTCATTACATATGCATCTGAAGGCATGCTGCTCCCAAATGTCCGTATCGTTCTAAGTTGGCACGCAGGCGGGCTTCCTTGCTTCCCTTTATCCCGCAAGGACCTTGCCGTCCTTAACTACTTCCTACTGCTGGCTATTAAGAAACAAGGGAATGCACTATGTGGGGAGCATATTATGTTGTCCTCACCTAATACACTATGTTAATGTAACCCCTATCATAGGGAGTATATGATTTTATTCTTCAATAGTCACCAGTAAGACTGTACGTCCGAGTGTTCAAGAGAGTTGGAGCCAATCAGAGAAAGCGTTTAGCTCAGGTGCTCCTGTGAAGTTTCTTTTTGGTTATGGGATAAATCATGAAGCTAGTTCTCTGGTAGGGGGTTATCGCATACCACAAACAAAAGAAATGCATTGGAGGGGTCTAGGGTAGTGTTAACGCTGCCAACGCTGACTGCGGGCTTTTTCATTCTCTGCGGAGCTTCTGGTTTTGCACGGCCGACTCTGCATGCAACTTGCATCTATCGCCAGCCCATCGCACCCTCGTTCTGAACGGCTTCCCGGTTACCTTCTTACAAATCTGTGAGCCCAAAATAAGCCCTAAACCCTAGACCCTATAAACCCTAAATGTTAATTTCCATTTTCTTGTCCATTACCCCTATAATAACCCCTATATACTGAACCTAGTCCGAGGCAATTTTCTCCCCTGTATTCTTAGCATGCCCGGCATGCCGTATACTTAAATTCTTTGTTTCCTAGGTTGCTGGGACATATACGGAGCTGTCATAGTGGGGACATGTTGCTTTTTAAGATGGTTCCCTCACATCTCCCGATAGATTCTAGCGTAATCTAAGTCTAAGTTCTTCAACATAAATGCAGATTCTATAGGAACAGTCTCACAAACCATCAAATTTGGTGAAGGAGCTTCAGGTCCCCTTCAACTCTTCCCTAAGGAAGATGTCCCTCTCCAGCCCTGCTGCTATAAGGAGGCATCTAGGCACCAAACCCTTGACCCTAAACTAATCTAAACCCCTAAGGCCTCAACCCATTACCTTAGAGCCTAAACTCCTAGCCCTCAACCCTCAACTCGATCCTAAACTAATCTCAACCCTAAAGGCTATGGTACCCCTTAAGTAGATAGAATTTGGCTTTGGGTACATTATAATAGGATCCCCAGATACTCCATATTCTATCTACTAAAGGGGGACTATAAACCCTAAATCCCTTAAAGGGGGACTATAAACCCTAAATCCCTTAAAGGGAGACTATAAACCCTAAACCCCTTAACCCTTGACCCAAAACCCCAAACAGCCCCATCCTGGTTTTAGCTCTCGTAGTCCCGGAGGATGGTAACCGCAGCCCCAAATATCAAGTTATACAGTAGTGTAGAACAGTTTAGGGTTCAGTGTTGGTTTAGGACTTAGGGCTTAGGCTAGATTTGGGGGCTTATAAGTAACAAGTTTTAGGTTTGGGGCGCGGTGTTGCAGATTGAGTTCCGGGTTTACGAAGACTTCGTGTCCCAGGAGCTGGTTGCCTGCTTTTCAGCGCAGCAAACATGGGGGTTTGCCAAAACTGGGCGTACCATTTTGGGGGTCCCATTATTAAGGATCTTAAATATTTTTGGGATCTATATTGGGAGACTACTACATGTAGTCCCTCTGCCTGCTTGCAGATGTTCTTACTTGCAGTTTAAACATGGGTGCTACAGTTGAACAAACCCGAGGTTTCATGGTAATTGCGGCTTGTGAAAGCCAAGTTCAAGGGCTGAGGGCTTGTGCCTTACCCAACTTGGGTCTAAGTATGCAAGTATTTGGGTTTTGAAAGGGGTAGAAGGACATTCAAGGATATGTTAAGGCTAGGACTAGGATTCATCGGGATATATAATGCAATATTGGCCCCCACGTTGGGGCTTTAGGTACCTGAAGCCTTTCAGGTTTTGGAATCTAAGGCCTAAATCCCTCGGTGGGATACTTGGACCCTTCAGACTAGGCCAGAATGGCAGCGAGCTCCTTCGGGGCAAGCCCTTCATCGCCTGCGGCTTTTAGGGTTCGGAATCTTGGGATTTCTGGGCTTGAAACCCTAAACCCTGGACACCTAAACCCTAAACCGTAAACCCTAAACGCCTAACCCTAAACCCCTAAACCCCTTAACCCTAAACCCTTAAACCCTAGCATATCATCCTTGAGGTTGCAACCTGAGACTTTGCGTCTTGCCGGGCCTTGCAAAAATTGTTTTTAGGGCCTTTAGTTTGGGTTTATTGATCAAGCTTCGGGTCCCTAAACCCGAAGCCCGAAGCGTGTGTTTGAGAGGTATGTAGTCCCCAAGGGTCCAAGTACCGAATAAGCATAGCTTCCTCAAAACTTGTACTACAAGTACTTGTAACAGATCTCGGAAAACTTCCGGTACCAGGTTGAGGATTTGAGGTTTCCGCGGGTCCATGTATGCCTAACGGTCCCAAACAGGAAACGAGGCAAATAGGGATGTATAAGGAAATGGCGGGCTACGTGAGGCTTTTGGTGTCCGTGTACCCAACAGTTAGGTACTTAGGAATCTGGTCGTAGTGATTGTAGTACAGGCTTACGGAGGCATATGAGTTTTGAGTACGTCGACGCGTAGGGTTTCGGGCAGAGAGAAACTGAACCCAAAATGATGGCATGGGCAGAGCTAGCCGCTGACTATGCAGAAAAAGATCCACCAAGGAATAAGACGGACCAAGGGCAAGAAGTACGGAGACAAAATGCAGTATGACACTTAGGAACTGAAATGTGCCCGGAGCAGTGCATCCTAATGCCCAAGCCCGAAGCCCTAAAACCCTAACACCGTAACACTAAACCCGTTGCCCTAAATCCTGCTGAATCTGTCTGAGCTGCAGCTGCCAGTTGGGCTGCCAGCGAACCCTGCAGTTGCTGGTCAATCTTAACATCTTGGTTACTGGCTTGGGAAGTTGTACCTAGACTAGCCTAGACCCTCAAACCTTAACGAGAGGTAAGCATACCAAAACATTAACTACACAACCTTTTTATGGGTACATTCCTAAACCCTAAACCCTAAGCCCTATTGGTCACTCTAGGGAGGTTGCGGGGTTCAGGGTTTTGGCTTAGTATTGAGGCTTCAGAGGCTTAACGAGGTGGATGACTTGGGGTTTTGGGTTCAGGTTTAGAGTCTATCAAATCGATTGTGCTCTCAAGAATATGTGTATTCTCAAAATTGTGTGGCCCTTTTTGGTTATAGAGGGGTACTGAAAAATGGGACCCTAATTTTGCGGACTACGCATATGGGCTGAGATTTTAGGCTTTAAGGCTTATAAGCTACTCTTAAGGAAGGAACCCAGCGGATTCTAGGGTTTGGTGTTTAGGGTTGAGGGCTTCTTAAGTATCACATGAGATTTCCAAAACAAGTTCACCCCCAAAAACGGGGCATGTCTATTCTGTTATCCATGTGCTGTTCCCTGTGGTTCTCCATTATAACCCACACACACCCTTTACCTTCATATGACTCTATACAACCCCTAAATGCATTCAAGAGATCCTATTCAAACCCTTACAGCTT